AGAGAGAGAGAGAGAGAGAGAGAGAGAGAGAGAGAGAGAGAGAGAGAGAGAGAGAGAGAATATGACGGGGTGTGCGTGCGCGCATAATTGGTCTAATAAACACACACACGCACGCACGCACGCACGCACACACACACACGCACACGCACCCCCCCCACACACACACATTATAGAATAAGGGTGTTTAAAATTTAATTGAAAAGCTTTCGAGATTACATCTCTTCATCGGGTCGGCAGGCATTGCAATAAAACCGTAATAAAAATACAATGCGTTATAGATATCATCGAAAAGAAATAATTCAAACAATTCGCGCACACGCACGCACGCACGCACGCACGCACACACACACACACACACACATACACATGTGCACACATTAGTTTAGCAATATCGCTTGTTGATCACACTAAACTGTACTAGTCTACATAAATTTATAAGGAAACGTAATGCAAAATTGCTTGCTCGTGTATTTTACATTCACTTATTTGTTACGGCCAAACTATTATTAAAATCACTGTTTTGTAGTGTGTACGTACGCATTCGTAACGTAACGTATCATATTGCTTGTTGGTGACAACTTCTGCCGCTACGCGGTTACGCGGTGCATTACTTTATGCAGCAGCGCATTGATACCGGCTAGTTGCTACGGGATGTGACGCGCGCGTTCTTTTCGCCATTGCGGCTTACCGTTGAAGACGCGAATTTTAATGGGCTTCTAAAACCCTAAAGAACCCAGCGTGGTAAGGGATTTGTGTTTATAAATAATTATTAATGTCTTTCTAATTTAATAGTAGCAGATTCGGCTGTGATTGCCGTACGTGGATTTGATTGGTATTTACCAGAAAGTTTGTTGTCCATAGCGAGCTACACAAACAGCATAGCACATACGGTAAATAGTAAATGTGCTCTTTGCATTTGTTTCAGATTAACCGTTCGTTCGTTAAGATACGTTTGTTCGTTACGTTACATAAGACGACATAGGCAGAAAATAAGAGAATAAAGAAGAACGTGTGTAATCCGCTGGAGCTTGATATGAAGAAAAAATAAATAAACCATTTAGATGTAAAATAAACAAAGAAGTTAATGTAGTCATTCCGCTACATTAAAGTTAATCACGAACTGGACTTTGTGATATCGTGGAGATAACAACAACAACAACAACAACAACAACGACGACGACCAGAGATGCCGTGTGACGGGGATCAGGCTGCAGCTGCTGAAGCTGAGACAACTGACCTCAAGAAGAAACGAGGAAAGGCTAAGGGTGCTGCTACAAGACTTATAAATCAGGGAACTACTCTGATGCAGAACAATAACAATGTGCCTCATGTGCAAGAGCTTCAGGTTGACTTTGAAGTGTCCGTGCAAACCTTTATGGCTGCTCACGCATCCTACCACCAGGGGCTAACCGATCAAGCTGATATTGCCGAATCGAATAAATATCGAGAGAAGTTCCTGGCCGATGCCAACAGTTTTGTAGATACTGTCACACATTGGATTGCTGATGTATTGTATGAGGAGGCTAAGGAGGTTGACGAACCAGAAACTACCTTGCTTAAACCTGAACCAATGCTTGGCCAAGATAACAAGGTCCACATCGGTATCGGTAATAATGGATTACGATATGTTCGGTAATACGTATTCGATAATACGGTATTCGGTGATGCGTGTCGGTACACGCATATGTTGTATTGCAGCTATTGTACGTTACAGCATAAAAAGACGCAAGAGTGAGAGTAATTGCACTGATATCAAAATGTTCACTGCCAAATGTGTTGGAATTCTAACGCGTGTGTTGATCGAACTTTATCGTTACTTGTTTTGTGGAGTATAAATATAGTGCGCGACACGGCATATTTATTTGCAAGTAGCGCGTTATATATCGGTTCGGTTTTTAGAAGCACCTAGATGTAAGGTAGCAACGGTTTTCGTTCGAGACTGCCAGTCAGTGTTTGTTCATTATACTCGAGCTGCGCTTCTTCTGCTACGTCACTAATCGATTGTCCCCCCGGGCGGACTTCTTTTCCCCATTTACGACAGACAGGAGTCTGTGACGTGACGATGGGTGCATCATCTCGGTAGGGGGAGGAATGTAAGCGGGCAAAGGCCACACGCCGGGGAAGGTGATGACGGATGCGAGAATGGTGTTGGGGTGATGCATGACACAGGAGCGGGCGAGTCAGCGGTCGGCACGGAGATCAAAGAGAGTGACTCGAGATGGCGCCAGCTAGGCTGGGAATCGCAGTCATGAATCTCCAGAGTGTGACAGGCGGCCGCACACGGGCTGACCTATAGATAACGGTGCTGACCGATAGATGGCCGTGTTGACACCATGGTCCGAATTGACCGTGGCGTCGCGCCAAGTGCGCACCACGCATCCCGCAACCATATTAGGTAGCGGGAGATAGCGGTAGGAATCCGCACTCTGCCGTATTCGGAAGGGCCGGTTGGTCAGAGTTGGGATTAAAGGAGATCTGTGACGTAGGGGAAGAAACGTGATCGCGAGACCGGAGCGCGCCGTATAAAAGAGGAAGCGGCCGACTGCTCGGGGCTTCTTGTAACGAGACGTAGTCTGAGAAAGGTGTAAGTTGCGTGATACGGTTACTATGCACTGTAACGCTTTTCTATTCGTTAGCGCACTGAGACTTTATGTATTGTATTAGAGATATAGATATAAAACACTAGTGAACGTTACTTTTTGTCTTCTCTTATCTCTCTCTGTAGTCTATTACAGAATTCCACATCGTAGCGCAAAACACGCGTCTACAATATAATATCATTTGTAGACAGAGTAGTGGATGAAGAGAGCGACCCTGTGTTCGGCAATCTTCAGAAATCCACTCTGAGGCAGCCTAGAGATAAATGCTTGGATTTCAAACAGCAGAGAAGAAACAATGCTGCTTTCTCGTCTGACGCCAAGGCTAAACCTATAGAGAGAACACATGAGAGGTCTATCATAGGAGGAGGTATTCCCAAGTATGTACCCAAGTGCCCTATGTGTGAGGATACCAATTACCTAAACCAATGCGACTGATTTAGAGAGCTTGCCGTTAAAGACAGACACAGCTTTGTCCTGATGAAGAAGCTGTGTGTGAATTGTTTCCAAGCAGGGCATTTCGGCAGAGACTGTCAAAAGAAGTGGACGTGTAATGTTCCTGGATGTGGTCAAAGACACAACAGGTGGCTGCACCTGCCTAACCACCAGACAGCTACAGATACCCTTCCTGCTGAACCCGTGACTACAAGAGGTAGCACGTTCGCAGCTAACAACCAGCCCGTAGGAACAATCAAGTCCCAACCTAACATGGACGTCAGGTGTGCCTTCGCTTGTGCAGGACATTGGCATGCCCATTATCCTTGTCGCCATTCAGGACCATGGACGCAGGGGACAGACAGAGACATATGCACTCTTAGATAGGTGTTCCAATTCAACGATGTGCACCGATAGATTGAGAACCAAGCTAAATGTTCTTGGCCGTCCTGGAATTATGGAGCTAACCACTCTCCATGGAGACCATGTCGAAGAAGAAGTGACGGTTGTAGATCTTGATGTGGGAGCTTTAAACAGTGGCAAGACGTTCAGACTCACCGACGTAATCTCCCGCGAGAAACTGAATGTGAGCTTAGACAACCGTGTGACTTTATCAGATATCAGACATATGCTACATCTGAGAGACGTCACCCTGGTGAATGTGGACGTTTCCAAAGTAGATTTGATAATCGGCTCTAATCATGCACACCTTCTTATCGACGTAGAGACTCGTTCTGGTAAGGAAGGGGAGCCAATTGCAACAAGAACTCCACTAAGATGGGCTATGTTCGGCCCTACCAATAAATTTAAACCCAAGAAAGCTAGCACATACTTTGTCAACTCGACATTGTCCCTGGAGGAACAGGTGGAGCTTCTGGAAGTTAGATGACCCGTTGTACAAAGAAGAGACTGCTCTGTCTGTGAGTGACAGGAAAGTTATTTCTGAGTGGGAAAGCTCAATCCGACGTGAGGGTCTACATTACTCACTGGGGATCCCATTTAAGCAGAGACCGCCTCAGATGCTAAACAACTACAGCATGGCTAAGCACAGGCTTGATTTGCTTGGAAAGAGACTGTCCAAGGACTCTGAACTGCGGGAGAAGTATGTTCAAGGGATCCAGGATTCTGTGGAGAAAGGGCATGCTGAAGAGGTGCCTCGCGAGCAGCTGGCCTTGGACCATCGTAAGGAAGCTATCTGGTACCTGCCTCATCACCCTGTGATCCATCCACGGAAGCTAGGGAAAGTCAGAGTTGTGTACGACTGTTCTGCCCCTTACCAGGGAGTCTCGCTCAACGATCTGATCCGTCAGGGACCTGATCTTATGAACAAGCTGATTGCCGTGATGCTCAGATTTAGACAGGAACCTATAGCATTTATGTCAGATATTGAGGGAATGTTTATGCAGGTGAAGGTGCACCCCGAGGACCGGGACTGTCTACGTTTCCTTTGGTGGGAGGGAAGCGACATCACCAAACAAACCAATACCTACAGAATGACTTCTCATCTGTTTAGAGGGCTATGGAGCCCTCGCTGCGCCAACTTTTCCCTTAAACGCACGGCAGAGGACAAGGATAACTTTGACGTAAAAACTGTGCAGACTGTGGACAAGAATTTCTACGTCAATGACTGCTTAATGTCTGTTGTCTTGAAAGAAGAGGCGGTGAGACTGAGAAAGCAGCTGTGTGAGCTTCTCTCACTGGGAGGATTCAGACTTATACCAAGTTGATAAGTAACCCACGCAGAGTTATGATGTCACTACCAGAGACGGAGTGGTCTAAGGCAGCAGCAAGCTTGGACTGGTTGGGACCAGAGCGAGCCCTTGGTGTGGTGTGGAGAGTAGAGACCGACCAGTACGGTTACGACGTATCCGCGAAGGATGTTCCTAGCACCAAGAGAGGAATGTTGAGCTTTACGAGTACAGTGTATGACCCGTTAGGATTCGTTGGACCTTTCATCATGCGAGCGAAGGTATTGTTCCAAGAACTGTGCAGACAGAAGCTAGACTGGGATGAAGCAATACCCAAGTATGTCGCGGATCAATGGATAAGATGGCTTCAAGACCTTCCTAAGATAGCAGACTTTAAAGTTCCAAGATGTCTGAAGCCAAGCGACAGATTAGAGGCGCCAGTCGCATTTCAGCTACACCACTTCAGCGATGCGTCAGAAAAAGGATTTGGTGCAGTTACGTACTTGCGCATGGTGGATGCATCTGACAGGATTCATTGCTGCTTAGTGATGGCAAAGAGCAGGCTAGCACCTATAAAGCCAACAACCATTCCAAGACTAGAGTTGTCAGCGGCCGTAGTTGCTGTAAAGCTGGACCAGGCTTGTAGGAAGCACCTCGAGTACACACTGTCAGAATCTGTGTTCTGGACAGATAGTACTATAGTTCTGCACTACTTGCAAAGCGAGGAAAAAAGATTCCAGACGTTCGTAGCGAACAGAGTGGCACAGATACATGAAGGTCCTTCGTCGAGGAAATGGAGACACGTTGATACTAACAACAATCCTGCGGATGATATCTCTAAAGGTATGTCAGCTGACGAGATGATAACTGATGAACGCTGGACGCAAGGTCCTACCTTCCTGTGGAGCAAGGAGCTATAGTCAGCCCAACCTGACTTAGGAGACATACCTACCGCTGCAGAGATCAAAAAGACCAGAGAGATTTACTCAACTACAGCTACAGAAGCTAAAGCGACCAAGACGACGGTCGACCAACTGTTTGAAAGGTTTTCGTCCTGGCATGAAAAAAAGCGAGCTGTAGCTATTATTCTTTGTGTGAAAGACATTCTGAGGAAGAAGTCAGATGTCAAACGTACTGAACCAGTCACAGTGAAAGAAATCCAGAGAGCTGAACAAGCTATTATAGTCTACATGCAGAGAAGCTGGCACGCTAACCCTACGAAGCTACAACAACTAGGGAAGCTCTCTCCTGTGGTGTCAGCGGATGGAATGTTAAGAGTCGGTGAACGCCTGTCGAATGCACCACTTCCTGACTCAGCCAAACATCCTTCCATTCTGCCTCCAGATCATCACGTGACTAAGCTGATCATCGAACATTTCCACAAGATAACTGGTTATGCTGGTGCCGAGAGAGTCTTAGCGGAAATTAGACAAAGCTACTGGATCATAAAGGGCCGAGTGTCGGTGAAACGAGCCGTTAGAAACTGCATCCCCTGCAAGAAGAGGAAGCAACCACCTAGTGTGTAATACATGGCAGACCTACTCAGAGATAGAGTCACCCCAAATCAGCCACCATTCACCGAAGTGGGTGTTGACTATTTCGGCCCAGTCAAGGTGAAGAGAGCTAGGAAAACCGAGGTGAAGAGATATGGGTGCCTATTCACGTGCCTGAACACTCGATCAGTGCACCTTGAGGTTGCTTGCAGCCTTGACACCGATTCGTTCATCAACGCACTACAACGATTTATTGCACGACGAGGGTACCCAAAGACCATCAGATCCGATAATGGAACCAACTTCGTTGGGGCTAAGCGGGAGTTACATGAAGCCATAAAGGAGTGGAATCAGCAGAAGATAGCCGACTACCTACTACAACAAGACGTACAGTGGAGATTCAACCCACCAGCAGCTTCCCATATGGGTGGAGTATGGGAAAGGCAAATCCGAACCGTCCGAGCTGTCCTCTCAGGCATCGTCAGCCAGCAAACCATCGACGACAAGAGACTATCAACTTTATTCTGCATAGTTGAAGGTATTGTCAATGGTAGACCACTAACGAAGCTATCAGACAACCCTAACGACCCGGCACCTTTAACACCGAACCACCTGCTGCTTCTGAGATCGGGGCCAGACTTACCACCAGGAAAGTTTGTCCAGCAGGACACTTATAGACAGAGATGGCGCCAAGTCCAGTACTTAGCGGACGTATTTTGGACCAGGTGGATTAAGGAGTATCTGCCCACTCTACAGGAGAGGCAGAAGTGGCTGAAGTGCGAGAGGAACTTCCAGAAGGGAGACTTGGTGCTTCTCGTGAATGAGACTACTCCACGTTACCAGTGGCCTCTGGGGCTTATTACCCAGACTTACCCATCCGGTGATGGATTGGTCATATCTGTGCAAGTCAAGACACAGAACGGACTATACACGAGACCTGTGCACAAGCTGTGCCTACTTGAAGCGAAGCTAGTGTGATTTAAGCGACATAGACTAAGAGGATGACCTTAGCTGTGCCCATGGACTGTATAAACGAGTTGCTGTTGTCACCATTTAGTTAGGAAATGAGTGCTGATAGCCTCATCGGGGCCGGGATGTTGGTGACAACTCCTGCCGCTACGCGGTTACGTGGTTCACTACTTTATGCAGCAGCGCATTGATACCGGCTAGACGATCTGCAGCCCGGATATCCGCGCGAAGCGCGCAAACGCCGCGCAGCGGTGACAATAAATGTTATTCGCTGCCCTATTTAGAAAATTTTCGGCAGTGCCCTTTGGGTACAGGATAAAGCCGTATAATCGGTCAATTGAGGAGTTGTGGCGATTCCACAAGCCTTTCGACTATGCACGTAAGACGAGAATACATACAAATGATGGTAATTGCTCGTTTGCTGCTCAGCGCGTTTGATTTTCCTCTAGAAAAGCGAGTTTGCATTTCTTCCGTTTCACGCCCTGAATTTATTCTCGTACATATGGCGTGCCATAGATGGCGCGACGAGGCCCTCTTCGAGAGATTTTCAAGGTATTTTTCCACACAAGGATCGGCGATTCAGCTTAGACTGCTCCGCAGTGGAGAGTTCCACACGCTGCACTAACTATAACTTTAGTGTAGTGAAACATACTTGGCCGAGTTAAGGTCCGTACCAGTCTACCTCGAATCGTGACGTGCGATTCAAATTATCGTAGCCATCTTAGTACCCCCGACGTTGATTGGCTAAGCCCGTTGATTGATGTTTGTTTACACTGAGAATTTCCACTAGATGTTATCTGGAAAAGCGCCTGGCTCCGTACGTGCAAGGTTTTTATCAACCTCTTAACCCCGCCCTGCCCGTGGCGACGGCACGTTGTGCGAGCACGTGCTGGCGTGGCCGTGGCAGTTTTTACACGTAGCTAATCCTACAATACGCCGCCACACTGACACACAAATATATATATGCACATGTTTTTAAGAAGACGGCGGAGCGGCACATTCCAGCCTCCCTCCTCCCCCGCGCTCACGTGGCGGCCGGGCACGGTCCAAATGCTATATCCAACAAACGCTGGCTCGGGGAGTTTTTGCGCCGCGGTGACTTTCGTAGTAAATAGATTTTGTATTTATTTAGTATTACATTTTATTGAAACGCTGCAAGTGCATGCTTGTGTGCCTGGCTGCGGCAGCATTGATGCATGTATATAGATACCTTATTAACCCGTGGCGGCGGAGCGAGCGAGAGAGAGAGAGAGAGAGAGACAGACCGTGGGGAGTGCGAGAAAGAGAGAAAGAGAGTGGGAGAACGCCAGATAAGGTACGAAAATACGGCAGGTACGACGGCGAGGATGAACAAACGCGTGTCAATCTATAATCGGAAAGCCCCCCTCCAAAGCCGATGTAGCTGAGCCGATGTACGTGTCCCGAAAACTGCGCGATGTTAGGCTGCCCGCTATACGCATTGGCGCGCCCGCCTTCCTTCGGCGCGCGAATTCGTATAGCGGGGAGCGCGAGATGCTACATACAACACCCCGCGGTCGCGTGCGCCCAGTCCCGCGGAAGTGCGCGGCTTAACCGCTTTCGGCGGTCGGGGAACAACTCATCTTTTGCGCAATGCCATCTTGTACCCGGTCTCTCTGGTTGCTAAGGGATGTGACGCGCGTGGTCTTTTCGCCATTGTGGCTTACCGTTGAAGACGCGAATTTTAATGTTCTTCTAAAACCATAAAGAACCCAGCGTGGTAAGGAATTTGTGTTTATGAACAATTATTAATGTCTTTCTAAATTAATAGTAGCAGATTCGGCTGTGATTGCCGTACGTGTATTTGAATGGTATTTACCAGAAAGTTTGTTGTCCATAGCGAGCTACACAAACAGCATAGCACACACGGTAAATAGTAAATGTGCTCTTTGAATTTGTTTCAGATTAACCGATCGTTCGTTAAGATACGTTCGTTCGTTACGTTACATAAGACGACATAGGCAGAAAATAAGAGAATAAAGAAGAACGTGTGTGATCCGCTGGAGCTTGATATGGAAAAAAAAACATTTAGATGTAAAATAAACAAAGAAGATAATGTAGTCATTCCACTACATTGCTATAATGCTTAAACACTCAATCATATCAATTAGCTAGTCGGCACGAACACGGTGATTTAATGTAGTTGAGTATTTAGTGGTTTGTCGAGAATTCTGGTCGAGTATCGGCATTCCAAAGGCGAACGCCGTGGACCGAGATAGGTTGAAAATAGGTTCTTTACAGTGAATTCATTACTGAACGTACTTAGTTTAATACCTTCCCGGCTACTACACCATTGCGGTGTGGAGTCAAATATCCTAATTTGCTGCTATCTTTTTAGCTCAGTAGCAAGTGTGGTAAACTCGGCAAACAAACATGGTGTAGAGAAGCGAATCTGCGTCCCGTAGAGGCGGCGCAAGCCTCGTTTTCATACATAAAAATTGTAACATTATATGCATGAGTTCTGTATGATCGCTATTCTCAGTGGGATGTTAAACATTTCGTTCTATCGCGCAAAACTACAATGGCTTGTTTTGTTGAAAGAAAAAACAAATCGAGAAAAATGTACCCCCCCCCCATACATGACGGTATACCAGGGCTGATGTAATTCGACATTTTAAAGCTGGAAGTCAGAATCCTAGATTTTTATTTTTAATTGTAATTTAGAATAATCCGGGAGTCGGTTTCCGGTCTTCAACGATATCGTAAAAACGAGTCTTTGCACGTAGGCAGCGAACGACATGTCACCGATGGCGGAAATCGTCGCATTATAGTCCAGCAGAGAGGCTTACAAAGCGAAGATCAGCAGTAAACGGCGACCAACTCTAAAACATTTTTCATCTCCAGGTCAGCGCATGAGACGGCCAAACCCAGCAAACCTACACCATAAGCCCCTGATGGGAGCAGAGAGAGAGAGAGAGCGCGAGAGAGAGAGAGAGCGAGAGAGAGAGAGGGAAAGATGAGAGGGTAGCGCATACGGCTTTCTGCACAATAGAAAATCTCTTCTTCTTCCGTGTTGTTAATCGCTTTCTTGACACGCCTTCATTCGACGTAATACTGACGCTGCTTTTAAATGTGAGGAAGCAGATAATTGTTTTCTGATGAGGTGATGGCGTGAGAGGTTGACGAGGAAGGGAAGGCGTGGCTGCGTGCCGTAATATTATGGATACGGGAATGAAGAGGGGGAGATGGGTGAGGGTATTTACCCTAACCTCGTCGTTACCTCTCCACGCACCTTTGCGTCCTCACTCGCATTCTGAAGAATAATACGGCTTGCTTAGGTAAAAAAGTTAACTCTTTTAATTTTACAAAATCAGCAGAGCCCATATATCGTCTGTTATGGAGGAGCGATTTGCGGATGTCGCTCGGTTCGTTCTGAATCTTGTCTGGAAGTGATCGCTGGGCATTGTACATAAGACTAGGTTACAAAGGTGGGAGTAAAA